ACCAAAGCCTCCTCCCAAGCCGCCACCAAAGCCACCAGCAAGGCTGCCCGCGCTCATGCCCCCTCCGTAGCCCATGCCGCAGGCTCCCCCGCCGTAGCTCCCACCGCCTGTCACAGAGGAGGCATATCGCCTGCAGGAGACAGCGGAGCTCCTGCCACTGCCACCACCGCAGACGCCACCACCTCCACCGCTCCTGTAAGAGGTGCTCGATGTTCTCTTGATGCTGCAACTCATGGTGGGAGCGATCAGATCTCTAGCCCCAGTGCAAAGCCCGCTGCACAGCTTGATGCAAGGAATCAGACTGCAGCCTTCTGTCCTCGCTGAGGGCTACTTATACCTGGCTGGGTGGGCGTCACCTGGAAGGCAGTCCAGCTTCCCGTGGAGGCTGCCAGCCTTGGTGCTCACGCCAAAAGTGATGTGCTAAGGGAGTTTTCTCTGAGGTAAGTAAAACGCATTACCATTCTGCTCAAGTATGCCTGTGTTGATTCACACAAAGCATGCACTGTAATTTGATGTGGGTGGCACTTTGGATATTTTGTTGGTTAATATAATATCTCATAGCTTCTATTAATCTGGCAATATATCGCTAGTAATAGGAGTTAATGAAGGCTCCGCCTTGATTGTCTGTCTCCTTCAGTCTCTGGGTGGCGAAATTCAGTATTTCAGCTTTTGTCTTCCTCCTGTGATCGCAATGATATGTAAGTCTGGCAGCCTCCAAGGGACTCTTCATTCATTGATTTATTCAAAATGTACATTAGCTATTTAGAAATATACTTCAACTTACTGAAATGAATTATACATTTTTAAAACTATGTTCCCATGTCTGTTATAGAAGAGAACTTTACACTAGATTTTTTGCTCTGTTGTCGCTGTTTACATTGAGGAAGGTCCTGCTGGCATTTCATTTGTCTGAAAGTGCAGGACGGTGATGCAGTCATTCTGCTTGGTGAAGAAGACTCGATGACAGCCACAATAGTAGTATTTTGCAAGGCAAGGCATATAAAATCTTTTCCTGTCAAACAGCCATTAATTTTGTTTTAGCTGTTTTAAATGGGTTCAGAGGAAATTGAGAGGAGAAATTTCTTATTATTTCATATTTTCATAATCATATTAAAAATAGCCATTTCTCAGAATGTATCCTTGAATTATATAATGCAGTAAAAAAAGTTTGACAAAAAGATACAAGGCCAAAGATTAGATCTGAAAAAAATATTCTCATTATGTGACTCGTTGCAGTGAATTGTGTTTGCCAACAGTAAGAGAATATCTTGCAATATGAAACACAGAGTAAGAAACAATTATGCATTTATTTCCACTGCCTATGCAATATGGGATGTTCAGTGAGTTGCTTTTTCCATCTTTACTAATCAAGCTTCTATGGACCTGAGAAAATCCTTGAACAGAAATGAATTTTTGGGTTTCCAGCTGTGCATTAAATATTGGCACTGTAACTCCTACAGAAGAGTCATTTGCTAGTACAAAGGAAGCACAAGGAGCTGGTGGAACCTCCTGTGAATTACCTCTTCAGAATCAGCTCAGCCACAGTGAGGGAGCATGAATTCAACCTAGGAGTATTTTAGGACGAGATTCCACATTACAGAAGAAGAAATAAACTCATTAAAATCAGCAAAAGAAGAATGAGAAGGGACTGAGTCACCTTACACGTGAAGGTACGCATCAGAGGAGGGAGCAGGATTGCTGGAGTCTGAAGACAGTGTGCCTGTCAGTGCCCCACAGATGCAAGAAGAGCTGGGGCTGAAGCCCAGAACAGGAGCCCCGCTGGCCTGTGCTTTGCTCTCGGCGTGTAGCTGCTGCCGTTCAGCTCCCCAGCCACCCCGTCACCCAGCTCCTGCCTGCCTGTCTCCCCGGGCAGCACGGCGCCGATGGAAACTGGTTACAAACAGGACTCCTGCTCCCACCGTGCGTCTGAAAACCAACAGGCAACTACCTGGAAACCGTACAGCCTCACTCGGGGTGAAGCCCTACTCTTGTAGAGTCTTCTGCTTTTGGTTTTTTTAATAGGTTTATTATTATTCAATAGGCTTTTATGTATATATATCTGTATATCTAGTTTTCTTCTTTCATCATAAGAATTATGCAGAAAGGCTTTTCAACAAAATATTGTTGAATTGGAAGGGGAGGGGTCTGAACTGATACCGCTGGAACATTATTTGCTGTCTGTAGGAGTGCTTAGTCTTTAGAGGATTAATACGCGATGAAATGTAAACTTGAGGTGCTGAATCCCAGAGCTTGAATTCAGCTGCCTAAAGGCATGTCCTTGTAGGTACTGCCAGTGACTTCCAAAGACCTGGAGATGTTAGCTCTGACTCCAGAAGAAAGGGGCTTCAATGTATGGGAAATACTCCTCAAGAGAGAAACAAAATCTTGAACTTAAAGGTAACCTGAATCATGAAAAATATCTGCAAAATTATGACTTATCACCTTTTTGTCAACTAACTTCAATTAGAAACACCTTCCCATCAGTTGTGGTTTTGCGTACTGCGGTGTTTAGAGAGAATGCAGTCGTGTCCTTGGTCGTGACGTGCCTCTTTCTGAGGCTGAAACACTCTGGGGTACGATCTGGTGAGCATGCAGAAGTGTTTTCTATACCTTTTCCCCCATTCTCTGGATCTTTTCCTGGTCTATCGTGTTATTTTTGAGACAGGGTCACCAAAGTTACAGCACTCAAAGTACAGCCCAGGGTATCTGTGTGTCCTAGACTGACACAGTGGAGTTCATGATGCACTTCATTTTGATCTTCTCTTTAGTGAATGGAGAATGACCTCTGTGGCCTAAGCTTTAGGGGAACATAGCCCCAGATTTCCTAGTTCTCCATGGAAGACCCCAGCTGTATTCCATTCATCCAAGGTTCTCACTGTCTGGATCCACCGTGTTTTCCTCAGTCTTTGTTCAAGATGCAGTGAGATTCCTTATTCCCCTCTCATACTGTCTTTTAATTTCCTTAGCCACACCAGTGACCTCCTCCTGAAAATCCTTCATTCCCTCGGCCTGGGTCTGTTATTAGGTGCTGTCTCCATTCTGCCTATTTTAACCTCTTCCGAACTTCGTCGTATGATGAGTATCACTTGGTGCCTGTTGGGCAGCAGCGCAATTATGAGACAGGAAAATAAATGCTCTTTAAAGGTTAATTTAAAGTGTAGATTGACATCTATGGAGGTAAGCTGTAACACAGAAGGTGCCAGAGGTAACAGTATGGAGTACCCTCTAGAGGGCCCTGGCATAAGCACAGTTGGTGACTGAAATAATCCACATAGCATTCATTTACTGTGAACAGCACGTCTCTTCCTAGATGATGTGTGTCGTCCAGGTATCTATAGCAAAGAACAGCCATCAGTTCTGCCTGCTGTGGAAGAGTTTGTGCAGCACAAAGTCTGTTTAACAAGTCGCAAAGCCTAGCTCATGCAAGCGCACCACCGGCAAATACAGCCTTTGGTTTGGGGTAGGTCAAGTGTTTCTGTTTCCTGAATGGGTTCCATGTGTTGAGAATGTTTGCGTGGCAACGTGACCTGTATCTCTGGAAATCACTTTTGCAGCTGTTCTCTCAATCCACACCCTTGTGCGCCGCCCTGTTTTACCTGTAATCCGTGGTGCTGGCGCCTGCGCGTCCGCCGCCGAGGGAAACACGCTTTCCCGTGGGCAGCCTCGGGCTGGTTTTGGCCCCTCGTTTGCCTGGGGTACGCTGGTAGCCTCTGGAGCTCGGGCGGCTGTGTGCCTGCGTTCAAAACTCCCCTTCACCACAGAGATCCTGTCTTGGCCAGGGTTAGGACAGAGCCTTCTGCACAGAGCGATGGGAGCGAGCCTGTCTCGGCAGCGGGGCTGGGTGCTGGGCAGGTGCCACCATCCTGTGTTCCTTTCCTGGTGTGCCGCTGCTGGGTGTACCTGCGAGCTGCACAGCCCATGGCTGGCTTCTGTGCTGTGTTGTCTGGCTGGTAGCTGTGCAATGGTCCAAGACTTTCAAATGAGTCCGAGGCATTCAGATGCTAACTTCTCACTAAAATTAATAAAGCTGTGGTTTATGATCTGCCTACTTTGGCAGCCCTCTCTCCTGCAAAATATCACAGAAGAATTCCTGAGATTCCTCAAATGTGCATAAGAGGCTGCTGTGAAAGGCCTGAGACAACACATTTCATTTCCTTTGATCTCTGAATTTTTTAGTCTCCAGAAGGCAAAATTATTTTTTTCAACTCAGGCTCTTGAAACGGCTTTTATCCATGGAGGTGGGCTGCAATGAAACAAGCTGCTATTTGTTTTCATGAACAAAGTTGGCCCAATCACTGGACAAAGCTATACTATAATTTCTTTGAAATAGTGACTGTAAAAAGCATATGAAAAAGCTAGACAGAAGCAAATGCAACTCCCAAAAGACAGCTAATAACAAGAGAGTGCTTTCTGATTATTTGGTTGTGGAGTTGCTTGGAGCTCTTGCAGTAGCCAAGCAATCCATTTTTTTGCAAACTATAGTCAGGAGTGGTTTTAGGTAACAGCTGGATGTGGCTGAAAGAGTTTGTTAATTTTCTTCACAGTACAGATCTTCCTATGTCCAAAAGGAATCATTCCAGGTACTTCCACATGTACTGCATTTGTCACAGGTAGAAGGCAAATATTGCTGTTAGTAGGAGAACTTTGTAGAGATCCTGTAAGTTGTATTTCCTTTTAACTTCTTTTTCCCATCTGTTCAGAAACAGATCCCTAGTTTGTGCATTTCCAGTTTAAACCGGTGCGTGTCAGTTAAGTTTTTGTGAATCACAAACTGAAACATTCCTTTCATTTTACAGTCATGGTTCTGTGTTCATTCATGTTGCTTGTGTCAGGCCTGCGTGGGCTCTCATTTGATGCCGACTTTGTCCACATTCGTCCAGTGCTGAGATTCTGCAGCCTGTGCTGGGCTGACACGCAAGTGCTCTGGAGTCGTAGAGCTCAGCTCCACAGGAGTCTCTGGCACCTTACTAAAAAACAAAGGCCCAGCACAGGATGCTCCAAGAAGATTATGATCAGCCCCGAATGCTCAGAAATTGTGCTTTAACTCTAAATTTCACCACCAACTATTATAACGCATCCTAAACTTTTCCACCTGAGGCATGTGTTGACATGGCTTTGTGTTTTCTTTGTAAGTGTTTACACCTACAGAGTGGAGGAAAACCTACACACAGGGTCCTGGTTGCATGAGACAGAAATGAAGTTTTATTAGCGACATTTTCATGATACAGAACAACTCAAGTAACAAACAGGTTGAATCTATGAAGCCAGTAGCTCAGTGCCAATGGTGTCGTAGAGCTCAGCTCCACAGGAGTCTCTGGCACCTTACTAAAAAACAAAGGCCCAGCACAGGATGCTCCAAGAAGATTATGATCAGCCCCGAATGCTCAGAAATTGTGCTTTAACTCTAAATTTCACCACCAACTATTATAACGCATCCTAAACTTTTCCACCTGAGGCATGTGTTGACATGGCTTTGTGTTTTCTTTGTAAGTGTTTACACCTACAGAGTGGAGGAAAACCTACACACAGGGTCCTGGTTGCATGAGACAGAAATGAAGTTTTATTAGCGACATTTTCATGATACAGAACAACTCAAGTAACAAACAGGTTGAATCTATGAAGCCAGTAGCTCAGTGCCAATGGTAGAAGCCACAAAGCATCCCGGGCAGCAGGAGCGCATAGCATGCATGGCAGGTGGGCGGGTGGCCTTTTCGCATAGGTGGCATCAGCAACGGCGAGGAGCTGTTAAGAGCATCTGGCGTTCCTCAGGAGCACGGGGAATGCATAGGACTGGGGGCAATTTCTGTTTGAAGGTCTTGTACTGTAGGGTCCTCAATGTATATTCTTAGTCAAAAGATTTTCTTCCATACCCTGTTTAGAAATAAAGCAAGCATTAATTTCTTCAGTACTGGCACTGAAGTGCTGAGGCACCAGTGTTTACCAGACAGAAAAGAAGCTTGGTTATGTGATGGGTGACCATAAGCATTCCAAAAGCATAAAGAAAACTTCAGCAAGGTACAAAAGCAGCGGTATTTCTGAGGTTCTGCAAAGAATGAGAGAGATGAAGACAAACAGCTGGGGTTTTAACTACACGATTAGCTGATGTCACCCACAAAATTGAACAGAGATTGAATGTGTGTTTCTTAAGCGGTGTTGGTCCTTTGCACACAAATAGGAAAGACTTTTTAATAAAAGTAGATCTAACACTTTCCAGAAATTTTAGTTTAGCCTCGTTACCATTTACCTCCAGAAGAGTGTGTTGATATAGTGTATAAATTAGTAAGAATGGGACTGAGAAAACAGTGTGCCCATACAACAGTTCTTACCTTGGCTTTCACCACCACTCCTGCAGGACTGAGACTGGGAAGATGAAGAGTAGGAGTGGGAACTGCTGACGCCTCCTGAGATCCTTCCTCCTCCTCCTCCTCCTCCTCCAATACTACCGCATCCACCACCACTTCCCCCTCCTATGCCTCCACTTCCCCCTCCTATTCCTCCACTTCCGCCTCCTATTCCTCCTCCCATTCCACCGCCGGAGCAAATGCCACCACCTCCATATCCACCACCTATGCTTCCTCCTCCTCCTCCTCCTCCTCTTCCTCCTCCAGAAGAATAGCCACCACCTCCTATTCTACCACCTCCTATGCCTCCTCCCATTCCTCCTCCTGTTCCTCCTGTTGGGAGTCTGCAAAGAGAGAGAAAGAAGGAGAAAAAAAGTTAATATCAAATGCATTTTGGTCTCAGAAGGAAATCTTTGTTCAGATACTGCATGGAAGCCTGCGCTTCTCCTGTCTGTACTTCTTCTTTTTAGAACTTAAAGGTTCCTGGCCTTTTCTGGAACCAGGGTAAAAGTAAGACTCGGTATGTGGGTTTCCCTGTCCAGCCCCAAATCGGTAGTTCAGAATTTCTGTATTATTTTTTCCTCACATGATTTGTATTCTGAACAGGTTTGCCAAAAAGTGTGTGGAACCTCAAACCTGGGAGGCGATTGGTCAAGACAGCTGACTTAGCTTCATTTCAGTACAAAATCTGTTTTGCGACTCTCGACTGTTAGTTTCCCGTCTTTGTGACTGATCTAGCAACCCCAGGTTTCACGTAAGGCTGTGTTCTTTTGTCAGTTTACATACACAATGTCTTGCTGTCCTTCCTCAAGCAGTGCGCGGTACTGAGCGATCTCCTGTTCCAGGCGGGTCTTGATGCCCAGGAGCATCTTGTACTCTTCATTCTGACTCTCTATCTCACAGCGGATGCTGGCCAGCTCCTCCTCCAAGGGGCCGATCATGTTCTGGATCTGCTGCAGCTGCAGGTTGTAGCGACGTTCTGTGTCTTCCAAGTTGGATTGCAAAGAGTCGATCTGCAAATGGAAACAAAATACAGTGTTTATGGGAATGTGGCAGGTTTAACTCATTGTTGTGGAAAAATTGGAGATCTTCACAAACCAGAAAAAAGCATATCTTTGAAGATAAGTCATCCAGTATCCCATTCTCTACAGATGGAGTACTTCCTAGGTGCAACCATTCTTTCATTCTAGTGACACAGACAGCCTGTGTCACAGGTGAAGCAGAAGCAAATGCCCTTACTTACCATGCTGATTTGCGACTGCAGCTCAATTTCCAGGCTTTGATATTCACGTCTCAGCTCAGAGATCTGTTGGTTGCTTGATTGTATCTCCTGGCCGCTTGAGTGGACTTGTTGATTAACTTCTTCCATCTGAAAAAGTCACATACAAAATTGGGGCATTTTTGATAATAAGAAAACATTGTGAGGTTATCATAAAAGCACTGAGCAAGCAGTTGGTAAGAAGGAAGACAGATGTCCTGTAGGCTGACTCGCTGTATTCCCCACATGCCACTCTTGTTAACTCACTCTGTGTACCTCACCTTGCTTCTGGAACATGGCGATTCTACGTGCTTTACCACATAAACTTAATACTCCAGAACAAACATGTCACAGTAAACTGCTTAAAGGCATTTAAAGTTAATGTCCCTTAAATAATACAAGATAACTTGCCCTTCCTTTGCTGGATGTAAATAGGTCCAGTCCTTTGTGAAACATTTAGTAACCGAAAAAACCCCGTGCTTTACCTTAGCTTCATACCAGCTTTCCACCTCTCTCCGGTTGTTCTCAATAAGCCGTTCGTATTCAGAACGCATCTCATTTAATTTTTCCATCAAATTAATGCCAGGAGTAGCATTGACCTCCACGTTGACATCACCACCAGATTGTGTTTGCAGTCCTTTCATTTCCTGAAAAAAATAGCCACAAGAAACCCCACCAGGTTCTCAAAGGGCAAAGCTATGGAGAAACATCAGAGTTTGAAATAAAGGAAAAGAAAGCGACACAAGTGCTCACACAGCCCCCTGCAAAGGGGACCTCATCCGCCCCTGTCGTGAAAGGGAACAAGTCTGCCATTCCTAAGCCAGACTCCACAGCGAACAGTAGCCAGGCACCCCATACACATTGACCCTGACATTTTCTCCTCAGGGTCATAAGGAATTCTATGCAGCATGCTCTTCTGAGAAAATCCGTTCAGGTGTTTTTCTTCTCAGTGGGAAATACCACTGCAGATAGTATAAATATTTTCTTTTGACTCCTCCTGATGTACTATCCAATTTTCCTTCCATGAGTTCGGCAACAAACTTACAGTTTTTACTGAAAGCCGTTCATTTCCCTGATCTCATTTTGACACGTGTTGACCTAGGTGCCTCATTACATCAGCTGTCAGAAGCTGTGGATGCTACACACTCTTGAAAATCAAGCCAGATTGTGTCAAGGTGGATGACCAAAGCCAGCAGTCAAAATCTGGTTGCTGCTAGTGGAAGAAATCTACTCTCTGAGTGCTGAGTTTTCATTAGTTACTACTTCAAAGTGTGGAGAAACTTACCTCTTCATGGTTCTTCTTAAGATAGACCAATTCCTCTTTTAGGGATTCAAACTGTGTCTCCAAGTCGGATCTGGATAGAGTCAGTTGATCCAAAAGTGGACGTAATCCATTAATGTCACTTGCCACACTCTGGTGGAGAGTATATTCCGTTTCATATCTAAACGACAGACAAAAAAAAATAGTAAAAGTGCTGCCAGATCTCTTTGTTTCTTACCTTGATTATGAACAGTCCCATCAGGACATTTTTGGTCTTTAATCCCATTGCTCATTTCTTAAAAGAAAGGACCTAAATCTCCTTCCATCTCCAATAGGTTGGTTTGATTCCAGTAGAATTTCTCTCTATGAGATTTATATGATGAGGATTATGTTTATAATTCTACAAAGATGGAGAAACTTAGAATGTAGTCCTTTAAATGGCCCTCTTCAATAACTTGTCTGGAGATAAGTAACAATGAAAGACTAGCACAAGATCATTCTCAGAATGCTTCTCCCAACAATTCTACATTCTGCCATTGGAGCCAAGAGGCTGTAGCATCTACCAAGATTAATTGCAACATGAACTTGGGGGAGGTACAGGGAGGCAAGGTAGAACGCGACAGGCAGGGCAGGACTCACTTCAGTCTGAAGTCATCCACCGTCATTCTGGTGTTGTCAATGTCAAGGAGGATCTTGTTAAGGTCCACATTTGCACCAACAATCTGAGAGGGAGAGGGCAGGTGTTACTCGGTTGGCTTTTCAGTCTGACACGCAGACAGAGGGAAGGAGTACTCGTGCAGAAACACATTTCAGAATAGCTTTATGGTAATGTCAAGCCTGCCTGGTGCTGCAGGAGCTAATGTTTATTGCTTCCAGTTAAAAGAAAGTGTCTTTGCTGTCAATTTTTGTTTACAAATATTCATCCAAAACATTCTACCTTGTTGGAAAGAATAACTAAACAAACTCTTCATATTCCAAAAACATAATTCCCATTGCATTTGGCAACAACCGTATTCATGTAGGAGATAAGAGACAATTAAATGGCTGAGGGCTAGAATTAGACTGAATGCGTATGTTGGCTCATCTTGTATATTCACAAAAAGGTGCGGTTAATATGGCCACTACAGCACAACATAATGATTGTATCTCCTGGTCAAGAGAGTGAGGAACAAACAAGCAAGAGCACAGCGTTGAGGGGAGTGCTAGCCAGGCCCCAAAATGGGTGCTCCAGTAATGATCTGCCACTGCACCAAACAGTGCTACCTGCACCCAATACAAGTGTGCCAGAACGTGAGATCACCCACAGCGGAGAAGAACGAGCAGCCAGGCTTTGTCACCAGACCAGCCTGCTTCCCGGCCAAAACAAAGGAGGGAATATATCGCCCCAACAGGGATATTGTGCTGCAGGAGGCAGGTGCTGCTCTAACGAGAATCCATTCAAAGTTAGTCAAATTATATCATACCTGGTTTTGCAGTTCTTCAATTGTTCTGTAATAGTGGCTGTAGTCCCTGGTACCAGTGGGACCTTGATTTTGATACCACTCCCGGATCAGGCGTTCAAATTGAGCATTTTCATCCTCCAAGCGTCGCACTTTATCCAAGTAAGTAGCCAGGCGATCGTTCAGGTTCTGCATGGTCAGCTTTTCATTTGTGGAGAGCAAGCCGGCATCTTCACTAAACCCCACTCCACCAAAACTACCTCCACCGTAGCCACCACCACCAAAGTTGCCACCAGAAAAGCCACCACTACCCCCAAAGCCACTAAATCCACCTCCACTATATCCACCTCCACTATATCCACCACCGCCATAACTACATCCACCAAGGCCACCTCCATATCCACCTCCCATTCCCCCAAAACCACCCCCACCTGATCCAAATCCTCCTCCCATACTTCCACAGCTCATTCCTCCTCCATAACTACCTCTGCTCATTCTCCCACCATAGCTGCCACGGCTAATCCTTCCACAACTGCCACTGCTAAAGCCCCCTCCATAGCTGGTCCTGGAAACTCCTCCACCAAAGCTTCTCCCAGAAAAGCCTCCGCTTCCTCCAGAAGAGGTGTATTTTCTACTGGACACTGAGGAGTATCCACCAGACTTACTAACTCCAGAGCTGCTACCCCCTCCACCACCGCCACCGCCACCGCCACATATTCCACCACCACTACCACCACCTCCACTGCTAATTCTAATGGTGCTAGATGAAGACTTCGTGCCACAGCTCATCGTGACAGCCGGGAGGAGTCTAACCACAGTCCCTAATTTAGCGGCACAGCCTGATAAGAGTCAGGACTGCAAATTTTCATCCCCAGCTCTCCCTATTTATACTTTTGACAGCGGGTGTCACCATCAGGGTGTTTCCTTCTCCCAGGGCATTTGCAAGCCTTGTTGTTTGTGCCAAGAATAATTTGCTGAACAATATTTTTGTGCTGATATCTCAGACAATCTAGCCCATTGCTGGGTTTATGGTGTTTGCTTAAGACCAAACATTTCATTTCTTTTGGGTGGCATTCTGTTCTTTTAGCTTTTTCTGGAATAGGTAGTCTCTTGCCTTGTGCAACCTGGATCTGCTTTAGGATGGAAAAGCCTCAGGATCCTGTTCAAGCTGCTGCTGAGATAATGTGTACCTGCTGGAACTGTACAGGGAGAGGTTTTGTTCTCAGTTCTTCCCTAAAAGGAAGAAGATGGGACACAAATCTCTCGTGCTAGACTGTGCGTTTATTTGTTCAGTTATTAATCTGCTTTCTTTGCTAAGGTTTTTGTAGCTGCTATGGTCAAAGACTATTGTTCTCTTTTGCTCTTTTATATTTTGTGCGTTTAAGATCTTCTACACCGCTTGTATTTGTTTTCTCACTATACATGGTAGTGCAAGGGTTTAATTAACAGGACTGTATAACTTGTCTATTTAGATTGTCCAGCTTGTGTATCTCTGCCATCACGTAGAGAATGTATCTATTTATATGAGAAGAAGTCTGTTTCAAGCAATGCAGTGGGATTCTTATTTAAAGATCAAAATCCTTCCTTTGTGAAGAAAGTGGTAACACAGCACACTACATAACTAAGTCCTAGAAACAGAGGAAAAAAATACTGGATTTTTTTCAGCAAAAAGCTGTTGATCTAAAATAGTAGGAAGATTAAGGATACTTTAATTGTATTATAAAGTCAATTGTAGAACAATAGAACCTGTACTAATGCGGACAATGACCTATAAACTACTGTGTGGGAAGACCTTTTATGGTTTAATATAAACCAGCTCATTCTCTCTATTGTTACTGTGTCATGTATTACAGGTGATAGAATAATTATATACGCTGCTCTTAATGCAGAGATCCTTGAGACTCTAAAACAGTATCCTGAGAGAAAAGCTGAGAGGCTTTTTACACAAATAGGTCGAAATCAGACTGTTGAGACCACAAAGGAGATTACACCGTACTTCAGTCTTGCACTGACCCCCAGAAGTGTACCCAAGATGGACGTGTAAAGGGTTTTCATCCTCAGCTGTTAGATGTGATGCTAGAGCAGAGACTCTGAAGACAGAATTGCATTGCTCTGAAAACTCCACAAGAAGAGGCTGGGTTTGGGCAAACAGTCTGACTGACTGATTCCAGATGACTCTCATCTACAAAAATACACTCATGTTAAAATGTTGCATCTTTGTCCTGGGAGAAATCGAAATCTTCTGGTTCAAATGCAGAATCTCGTTTGCTCAGCATCCACTCAGCTCTGCTCTTACACTGCAAGCTTTCACGAGAAATTTACATCTTAATGTTTTAATACGGTAGAGACTTCATTCATGCCACCAGCCAGTCCTTACCCCTTAAGGGCAAGCAACAGCAAAACCATCAGCATTTGTGGCCCTGCCGTAGATGGACCCCCAGCTCGCACAGCTTGCTGCGAAGGAAGTGTACGTTTTGCCAGTGACGGTTTGCTCTGTGTTACTGAAATGCGGCCCTGCCGGCCTTCCTCTCTGTTCGGTTACTGGTCCCCAGTGACTGTCAGGTGCTGCTGAGATGCAGCCATCTCTCGCCACACCTCAGGTGCAGGGAACAGAGACGGGCCCGTCTGAGGAGCGGTCAGGTGGGCGCACCGTCCCTGTCCAGCGTCTTCCGAGGGACTCTGGCAGACGGCAGCGCGGTGCCGTCCGTGCTTCCCGCCGGCACCTGGCTGGGAGGTAACTGCTGCTGCTCTGTTGGACACCGCTGTCAGTCTCCATCTGCACGGTTCCTTTACAAACTGCATTTCTGCCTCTTAACTTCTGGACTTTTTAGTGTTAAATGAAGGATTATTTAATGTTTTCTGACTGAATCAATTGTCCTGTCCTTTGCACGGTGCTTTTGCCAGCATTGCTTTATTGCTGCTTATGCAACTGCTTTCAAAAGCTCTCTGATTTTATCTTGCTTTTGGATATACTCAGTGGATCAAAGATGATGAAAGATTTCAAGTAGCTTGATGATGTGATAATTTCTGCTTGATTCACAGCTGGAGGATGGTAGTGTCACCTCAGCCGCGTAAACAGTTTCTGGGCTTCTGCCTGTTCTGTTATTGGTGCTGAAGCATGTGGTTTACTATATGCAAAATGCTTTTTTCTTTTTCGTGTTGTTTTGCCTTTGTGTCTGGGTAATGTTGTTTTGGTCAGCGGGGGCCCTTTTTCACAAATTCCACTACAGTTGGTAAAATTTATTATCGCATTCCAATTTGCATCAGTGCCTCTGCTGATACTCCTTACAGATGCCTTTCGTAGACAGGCTAGGACAATCTATGGGTTTGTTAGTGATAATGAGCAAAAATTTCTCTGGAATTATTAAAACAAGAGTAAAGAAATTTGCCAAAAGCATCTTATAATCTGTTTATGTACTTTCTGAGAACCCACATTGTTTCCTGTTTTCCTGACAGATTGTCTTTTTTGCATGTGGACTTGTACCGCAGCCACCAGCATTCCTCAGCCGGCACAGCACCGGCGGGTTTTGACACTGCTCGCTGCTGCTTCTCAAGCTCAGCACATGCCACGTTCCAAGTACAGCCAACATCTTTCACTCTCTCTGTTATTGTTTTCCTTTTAATCAGGCCTCCGTGATATCTATCAAAGAAGTGTCTGCCTAGCATCAGAATGAAGACAGACCTTGGGAGCAGTCCACACTGCTGTGTATTTTAGCAGAACAGGGAGACTTTTACAACAGGCTGGAGCTGCTACATTCGAAACAAACCTGGAGAAAATGTACTCGCACTTTTGTGTCTGTGCACCAGAGAATTAAAACATTTCCCCTTAACTCAATGTCATCCTGATGCCATGCCTCAGGCAAGTGCTAGTTTATTCTCTGGGTTTATTTAATAATCTCTTCCCATCACTCTTAACAGAATTGCTATGAGAAGAGAGGATCTGTTTTCACCTAGAAGTCTGTGCTCGCTCTTCATTATTCCTGCTTCATCTCATAATATTCTACTGAAAACACAATCATTTCCAAAGAAATTTAGTTTAGACCCAGCAGAGGAAACAAGGATTATTAAGGCAGCAGTGAGCTTGCCTGCGAAGTTTAAAACCTCTAGCACTCTCCTAGAGAACACTTCTGTGCAGGAGAACTTGGATCTTCCTTGCAAGTAGGTTGATGGGCAGAATGCCTGGTGCTCAGATCCCGAAGATGAAGATGTACGCACTTTTTTTGTCACCTGGATGTGACAGCCATGGGTGGAGGCTTTTGTGCCCTACAGCTGACAGGCAGTATACCGGCTGCTTATTCCTGCCAGTCTTCGTGTCTGAGCCGGGAGCAGAGAGCTGTCCCTCTGTGACTGCCCCCGTCTCCGGCCGGTGAAACTGATGTGAGTGGAATAATTTTTGTGTTGGTAGCAAAATGGAAGAGCATTTGTCATGTTGCCTATAGCAGCTGGAGGGCACGATAAGAGCGTCAGCTAACAAGGTCTCCTGCCTCTCTGGAGAGTTTCGGTGCCTCAGTCCGTGGGGGCTAAGCAGCCCCAGATCCCCCCAGGCTGTGGGCACGAGCAGCTGGTCTGTCACCCTAACGGCTTTGCTCACTGCAGTACCTGCCAGGTGGAAGAGGGGTTTGAATCCCAGCCTGCAAAAGCACTAAAACCCGTATCGTACCTTCTGTTGCTACAGCTAATGTGTTGTGTGAAAGAAAGGCATCCACTCTTCTGAAGCGTTGCAGAGGGAGGAAGGGCGTGCTGGCCCCTGGGAAGGACGCTGCGGGGCTGAGCGCTGCGGGGCTGAGCGCGGCGGGGGATGCACCCGTGCTTCAGGGGAGACCTGCGTGGTCTCTGCGTGCCAGCAGGAAGGGGGAAGGAGCTGCTGCCTACTCCCCTCAGCCTCAGCCTGCGCTGAGCAAGTGCAGAAGCAGCCTAGGGAACTTGTTAATCAAAAAGTAAGATTTAGTGAATGTAATAATTCACAGTGGTTAAATACCCACTAAGGCAGGGTTTGGGAAGCAGAGCTTTGGCCTTCAGCCAGTGGAAGTGTAGCTAAATCCTGTTTATGCCTGCTGCCTCTGGGGATCTGGCCGCTGCTTGATTGTGCCTGTAGACATGGTCAATGACTGCCTGAGCAGCCTGTGTTACCCCCTCATAAAAGTGGAGAAAAACCACCAGGACATTGATGTGGGGATGGGTGGGCTCTAGGGAGATTTGCGAGTTGCTTCCTTGCCCCCCGCCGTGCAGGGAAATGGCACGCTTTGCTGTACTGATTCTGTAGCCCATGAGTATAGCCCGTGTAGCATCTGACAATGAATAGGGCTGACGATGAATGCTAAACAAAAGAGAGATCAGCAGAATATAGGCATAGGCAATTTTGAAATTACATTTATGCCTTCAAATGGACAGATGAATTTCTCTGAGAGTACCAAAGCCAAACACACAGGAGTGTGTGTGCACACGTGCGCATTTATTTTTGCCTAAGGTTGTTCTGAAGGTCTTGTTCCAGCATGCACCACAATTTTCTTCTCAGAGCACTAATAGGAACACCAGATAAGTATCCAAATTGCAACATTCTGTGCTCATAAAATTAAAGCTTATTGTGCTCATTAATGCCTAACAAAATGCATGCAAATAAATGTGCAAGGTTCTCCTCACTACTCTTAATGTTGCTGGAGTCCGACTTTGAGCGTGCTCTAAACTTTGACACCTGGCACTACGATATTTGTATTTCTTACTCCTGCTTTGCAATAGTTCTGGTTTTCTAGCTCTGTTCCTCCACCTAAGTGGTTTTGCATCATTTTTATTCTTACAAGCCTGTTCTCTCACTAAGCAAATGCTAGTGATAACCTAGATGCAGATTTTGTATATACAAAATGGAAAAAGGAAAGAATACTTAAACTGGCACTTTCTTTCAAGGTATGGTAAGAAACCATCTAAATTCAGTCTTTGTTTTGTCTGTAATGAGCACTAATGCCATGATTAAGTAGGAGGTTTTCTTAAGTTTATTGGTGGCTTGTATTTATTTTGTCACATACTGTAACGTGTAGCAAATAAACTTTATGATGAAGCTGCTTTGCACTACAGATGCAGACTCATTGCATGCAGGGAACACGGTAAGAACACCTTGTTAGGAAAGGTACAGATTTTAGGTAAGGAAGATGACAGTATGATCAATGCTGAGTAGCAAAAGTAGTAATAGTAATTTTATGTTCTTTATCCTAGTTTCTCAGAAATTTTTACGTATTTCTGTGTGTGATTATAACCTATCAGTGTAAGCATTTAAACCAGCAGCAGAATTGCACAGCGTATGACAACACATTGCGTTCCAGTGTCTGCGGCCATCCGGGTCGCGGAGGTACGGTGCTGAACTGCTTCACTACCCCTGGCCTCGCCTTCCACCCTGGACGCTCCGCAAGCTGCATTCTGCTTTGCTCTCACAAGGACTTGTTTCAGTGGAATTTCTTCTGCAAGGTTAGATACAGATATGGTAGATCATTTGGTAACTGGCAGTAAAAATACTAGAAATAAGTTATATTTTTGGAAGGAAGTACAGGACCAGGGAGTGAGAGGTATCAGTGGTCCTCAGAGCCCCTGGGACGGTGCCGAGCAGCAGCTCCAGCACAGACAGACCAGTCCTCCAAGCAGATGGTACCTGAGCTCCTTCATAGCCTCCCAGGTGTTGCTGTACAGCCAGAGGAAGCATGCATTCCGCAGAAGCAGTTTTGAGATGAACTTGGCAGGAGTTCTCTCTCTTGGAGGAGGTGTAAGAAGCAGGACTGCTGTACTGGGAGCACTCGGTAACTTGGGCTGTTAGCTTAGTGTCTGGAAGAGACAGGTCTAAGAAAAAACTGTCACAGCCTGCAAGAGGTGTCAAACTAGCAGAGCAGACAGAGCAAGCAGGTTTAGGGGATAGCTAGCAATACAGAGACAAGTATGACTTGATGCTGCAAGGGTTTTAACAATGAAGTGGGTGATTTTGCAATAGGGGGTAAACGTACAGGAGACTGCCTCTTTGCACGTCAGGTCAGTGGTATCAGTGCGTGCTTGTGTGTAAGAGTAGGCCTGTGTGAAGATTAGCCACTTCTCCAGGCCCCCACAGAGACACAGAAAAAAAATTTCGCCTTAAATTATTTTTCCTTTTGACTACTAATCACATTGGCTGAGAGCCTGGCATAAGGCAATGCAGTGAATCACTGGCACAGATCTGCCTAGGACTCAGGCACTCAGGATTCCCATTCCCACGGTCTCCCACTCAGTCTGTGTTTCTCAACCTTCTCCCGTGGGTGATGCCTTCCTCAGAGTGAAAAACAAAACTCATGACCTTAAAACTGAGAGAGAAACACTTACAGCAGTGATACTCCCATCTGGTTTCCCTTGTTTGTGTCTAAGGAGGTGAGCTGAGGGGTGCGAGGGATAAGGAATATTTGGGCGCACAGGTGTCATGTGAGAAGCTCTCTGAATTATTTTCAAGCGGAATTCCCCAAATAGTTCGTTTCAGCAATTCAGCCCATAGAAGTTCTGCTCACGCAGACCCCACACTTTAATTAGCCTCAACAGGAATGAAAAGCGCTGTACGGGATACAGCAGGGGGGAGCGGGCAAAGCCCCTCTGGCCATTGGCACCCCTCCAGGGCATAAAGGGGGGAAATACAGCTGTCATTAAAGCAAAGAGAGGACGTTCAGTCTCTGTCTCTTTGGGCGTTTGCACCCTTATCGCTGTGAGCAGTCCCTCTACTCTGGGATCTGTAGGCAACCCTTAATATTGGTTTGGGAATCTTTTCTCTTGGATATCTTTTTTCTTTTTTTCTCTCGGATATCTTTTTTCTTTTTTTCTCTCAAACTACCACTGGGCTTGGTAAAATCACATCCTAAATACAAATAATTTGCCATTCTTCTTTGTAAAACGTATACCTGTCCATACTTAGGAGAAATGCCCTGAAGTGGAAATGCATAGAAGAGGCCAGGTATGGTGCAGCCCCGGGCAGCAAGGCGTGGGCATGGGCAGTAGAACTAGCCTGTGAATTTCTTCTTCTGTAAGACCATATGCGTGCAGTTGGGTTCATACTCCAGCTTTATGGATTTATTTTACAGTACAGATAACTACTGTGACAAAGTAGGGATATCCTATTACTGATCTTTTATCCACTTGTTATCCAATGTGTGCCCAAGCACTCGGGATGTGTTAATCTGGGGTAATTAATTGTAGATGACTGGACTTCTGCACTCAGGGGTGTTTTGGCACTGGGAGCTGAAAATTTCCATCTTCAAATTCCATGATAAAAATGTTTCATAATGCATTTTAGTGACTCCTTAGGAAGATTGTGAAGAGGCTTTCTAGGGAATAGACAGTTCCTCAAACCAACCCTCGCTTGCCCTGCTAGAAGTTCATAGCAGAAACGAGTAGGGATTTTTACTGTTAGTTTTCCCATTGCAGGGACTACCAGAGCATTGTACCTTGTCGTCTGTTCTTCAAAGTTTTGCCCAGTTCATCTTCAATGGTTAATGTCACCGCAAACTTTTGGGTCTTGTGCATAATCTGACCTGTCTTGTGTATTCCACAGGTAGGGCTTGATATTTGTAACTGATTCAAGCAAAAATGTCTGTTAAAAGAAATTTCTCCCAGACATGACTTTCTGGTTGCAGCAAAGAGAAGCAAAGATTTATTAGCATTTTTTGTTTGTTTTTTTCTTTTTTTTCCCCACAAGAATACAAATCACAGTAGAGATTAACTCAGGTAACAGTGATTAGATGCAGAAATTCAGATGCAAGAAGCAGGCAGGCCATGCAGAGAGTTCTGATGAGCCCCTGGAGCCAGCAGTGTTGAGTAATTTGAACAAGCGTTTGCTCTTGCTCTGCGCAGAGGCATGATCGGACATGCTCGGTACGTTCTTGCTTGGTCCAAAGGCCCACTGGTGAGGTCCTGCAGCAGAAGGCGCTGGGTTTGCCAATCAGTCCTCAGACTTTCTAAAACTCCCTGTTGAAAGATGAAGGGAAGCAAGAATTTCTTTGAACAAGCGTTATCTCATTCTGCATTTGTAATCTTTTTGTCACTTCATAATTACAGACTGTGCTGTTCTCAGTGGACTAGATTTTTTTCCCAGCATTCTGGAAAGGTTTGAACAGTGTCAGACTTAATATTTGTACAAGCATGTGTGTTTGCGGCTTTATCATATTAAATACAGGGACCTGCTTCTATTCTCAGCTGAGTAAGTGTAAATCACTCCTTAAATTTAGAGTGGCTGTAGCAGTATAAATCAAACACAGATGAACTTAGAATCTGTATTTATGTGTGTATGGGTATTTACGGCTACTCTTAACAAGTTCAAGTAGGACGGCACATGGTATGTTTTATTCTTGCCTACCAAACGTTAGTATACATAGGGCTGTTGCAAGTCAGATAGGATGTTTGATCAAAGCAGTAAATTTTCACAGAGGAGTTTGCAAAGCCTATTAAATTTTTAAAAACTAGATCTCATCTACACCAAATCTTACCAAAAAATCTTATTCATTACACAAAAGCCTTCTGAATGCACTGCCTTTGTTGGCAGCATCCAGCCAGTCTGTGTACAGTATTCTTACTTGCTATATTAACGGCTTCAGGCCTTTTGGTCTCTAGGCAATGCTTTCGTGCCCAACTGTCAGTCTGTGATGGAAAACAGCAAGTTTGTGTGATACACTACATTTTTAAGTAAGATGAATATCCCTATCACTTCCTTGATAAGAGAAAATAAATGGAAGCCTCAAAGCGGGATCATTTCCCATCTTTTTTTTAAAAAATCAGAAGCAGAAGAGAATCTTTCTAAAAATTATAACTTTCTGTTCATTGTCAACATTTTCAGGCATTTGTCTGAGATGCTGTCAGGACCTGGAGCCTTACCCAATCTCATCGTTCTGATGGCTTCAGACACTTCCTCCATTGTTGCTCCTCTCTCCAATGTTCTGTTCCCTTCCAGGCAGAGCTTCAGGTTTTCAGCACCTCCTGGAATCACAGCCATGAAATCAGACATGGAAAAGACCTTTTGGTCACTTCCAATCTTTTGAAACTTCAGGATTTTGCAGCTAATACCCTTTATATTTTAAATGTCACGAGTGTGCCAACTGTCTTATCCTGCTTTAACCATTTTGCCCCCTTAATACCAGTTATGTTTCTAACATTTAGCTTCGTTCTGAAACTACTGACTTCTCTGGTTCCCTGCATGCTTGGGATTGGCATTATTTTTCCTTTTCTTCCTTCATTTCCCCTTTCTACGTGTCCTCTGATACAACTCTTCACAACATCCCCTTCATTTGAGTCACTTGAGAAAATACTGCCATGTTGCTACGTTACTGTATAAGAACAAATGTCAGAGTGGACTTAAACAAGATTGGGAAAAAACAGCAAAAATGTCTCCAGATTTGCAGATGAGGAAGGAAGTTGTCATATCCTTTCCCGCTATTCAGAGAAGAAAGTTAATGGAAGGATGTACTCTCTTTTTCTAATTTTTACCTTGGCTTTCACAAGAGTTGCCAGACTGGGACTGGGAAGATGAAGAGTGGGAGAGGCAGGATTTGCCCCCTCCTCCTCCACCGCTGCCACCTCCTCCACCTGAAGTTTTACCACAGGCTCCACCTTCTGTTCTTCCTCCGCTCCATCCTCCTCCACCTCCAGAAGAGCAAGTTCTTCCATAGGATCTTCCAATGCTTCCTCCACCTGAGGACCAGCTACTTCCTCCTCCACTACTGCCTCTTCCAGAAGACCAGCTAGTTCCTCCATGACCTCCTCCTCCTGAAGATCCCCCGCCAGCTCCTCCCTGCGAAGTGCTGTGAGGAGGAAAGGGCACGTATTTGTAAAATTTATAGCAACATGACTAGTGTCTGGTATCCTACTGGCAGTGCCGAGGCTGCTTGCTGACTCCCTCCAAGCTCCTCATATGACTGAGAAAGTTCTATTGTGCGAAACATGTTCTAGAGAACTGGTGTTAAACTATCCGAATTAAGGACAAATTAACTGATCTGCGCAGAAGAAGAAAAAGAAAGATAATGAATGGCTTTAGATATCTTTCAAAATACGTATCCTGAGTATTTTTAAGAGACAGTTATTTTCTTGCTTAGCTTTCATTTTCATATATAACTGTACCTTCTGCTTGTACTCAGGAGAAGAAATGGCATATTACAGTTCTCAATACTTTTCTAAATGTTTTTGTCCAGTTCACATAAGTGTAGAATCATCTGGCTTTGTACACTGCCAGCTAAGATTTAGCTTCCGTAGTACAATGTTGATGATGAATCAGTTGCACTAGTTCCTAACATAAATGTTGCTACTTTCCTCTTCAACTGTTGGCTCAGACGGCATGTTAATTAATCCGAATGCACATACCTTATATCATGCTGTCCTTCCTCAAGCAGTGCGCGGTACTGAGCGATCTCCTGTTCCAGGCGGGTCTTGATGCCCAGGAGCATCTTGTACTCCTGGTTCTGACTCTCTATCTCACAGCGGATGCTGGCCAGCTCCTCCTCCAAGGGGCTGATCATGTTCTGGATCTGCTGCAGCTGCAGGCTGTAGCGACGTTCTGTGTCTTCCAAGTTGGATTGCAAAGACTGTAACTGAGAATGAAAGAAAAAATACAGCGTTACGGGAATGTGGCAGGGTTAGGTCGTTCTTATGCCCAAAATAATGAGAAAAATTTTACACGGTGTCAGATGCACCAAGCCTCTTCATTAAATGAAGTGCTAGCTGTAGCTGATCTCCTGTCATTCCAGCAACCCGCGTGTTCTTTGCATATCAGAGGGTCAGAAGCAATCGTTACCTACCATGCTGATTTGCGACTGCAGCTCAATCTCCAGGCCCTGGTAGTCCCGTCTCAGCACAGAGATCTGTTGGTTGCTTGATTCCACTTCCTGGCCACTGGAGTGGACTTGTTGACTCAGTTCCTCCATCTGCAAAATTCATACACAGAATTGGAGATTTTTAGTTTTACTAATAAAGTCAGCATGGTAGTTTGTCATGGAAGCATCTGGCAACTCAAGTTGAAGCAGGGCCGTTTGTAATATGGGGGCTGTTTAAACTTGCTTGTATGGCTCTCCAGTGCAGTTCAAGCCCACTTGTGATTTCCTTTATTTTAATCAAAGAGATTCCACCATTATATCCTAAAAGCAGCGGATGTTAGCATTCATCTACAGCAAATTCTTACCAAAAGTTGGTATTGGTTTCTTTTGTAATGTGAACATTCAAATGGTAATCATTTACCTTGCTTTCATACCACCTTTCAACCTCTTCGCGGTTTTTCTGAATAATATTTTCATATTCCTGTCTCATATCATTCAGTTTTTTCATCAGATCCTCTCCTGGAGCAGCATTCACCTCCACATTCACATCACCACTGGACTGTGTTTGCAGTGATTTCATTTCCTGCAGAGAAAACCCAAGGCAAATACACAAAAATGGTGAGATTGCTTTGCGAAAGAGTTTTGAAGACAGTTAACTTGCCCTGACACCATAAACCATCCTGGATCCTTTCAACAACATATATATGTATGTTGCTGGTTTTTCCTTCTTGCAATTATTTGGCCTTTTGCGGGACCGTGCTCAGAGGTGCCCTGGACCAGCCTGGGCCTGGCGGGCAGCCTGGCTCGGGAAGCCCCTTGCCGCTCTGCCGCACCTTAGAAGAGCAGGGAGGAGGATGTTCCTGGTGAAACCTCCCCACGTTTCCCATACTGTAAGTGTTCTTGTTTTCCTCTGCAGTCTGCGTTTCAAGGAGTTGGCTCTTACCTCCTCATGGTTCTTCTTGAGGTCAATCATCTCCTCCCGTAGAGACTCAATTTGCATTTCCAGGTCAGACCTGCTCAGAGTCAGATTATCCAACAAGGGTCGCAGGCTATTAATGTCCGCCTCCACATTCTGCCGGAGACCGTACTCGGTCTCGTACCTGCGCCAAGGACAGTGCAGAAAGGTCAGCCCTGGTCTGGGGTTCTCAGTCCTTCTCCTACTGACGTTATTTATGAAAAAGTTCACGTATTTCAGTATCTCAGTGTCTGCTTTTGTTTCTGTACCTTCTAGCACATAGCATCTCTCAACCAGCAGAATTATGAAATCAGCAGACAGTACTAAAGTTTAATATTAATATTAAACTTTAATATTAAAATGTATTCTGTGGTCTTTTTCGTGATCTCTTCTTACTGTAGACTTTGTGCAGGTTTCATCCGTGTTTCATCTGATTTTCAGTGAGAGATAATCACAATTTTTCCTTCCTTAAAAGTAAAGCTTTTTTAAGGTTTGACTCCACAGCCATAGGGAGTATCCCCACTGAAGATCATTACAGAAATAATCAAGAATTTTGAAGCCTTACAAATTATTCCAGCTGTGCTGCCATGGAACCGGGAGGAACCCTAGTCTCCGTGGACTGATATTTGTTTATGGAATGAATTTATGAAACTAAGTTGAGAAAAGCAGGAGAAAGGAAGTCAGTGCCTGCAAAAGAGGAATATGTATTTACTTCATCCTGAAGTCTTCTGCAGTCATCCTCGTGTTATCCAGATCCAAAAGTACCCTGTTGGTTTCCACAGCCGCAGTCACAAGCTAGAAGAGAAGACAAAATGCCAAGGAAAAATTTCCCTGTGAATCTCTCAGGTTTGCACAAGGGACAGAAACATGAACGGGATCTTCTTGTTATAATTCCCAAGTGTCTGAGAGGAACAGCATTTCCTACATACAGAGGTCTAGAAAAGTCACCTACAGTGCAAAACAAAGAGGTACCTCTGTGAAAATAGCATCAGCGTGGCAAAAACTCTTTTGTGAGTGCCAGAGTGCTGTCAAGAGGCTTGGTGTCACCACCACAGCTCTGTCTCCCCTTCCATGCCCGCGGGCCAAGGCCTGCACTCAAATCTCAGACACTGCACATCCCAGAGGGTAACTGTTACCATTTTTCCTGTGCTCTGAAATCCACCCCAGGCGTCCTGAGCGTCTGCAGTCACTGCCAACTCTGGGGTGTGCTGTAGGGATGTGCATTGTTTCTCCACCTCTAGTTGGAGACAGTTGGATGCATGCACAGAAGGCAGAATTTCGAGCGCAAGAGGCACTTTCAGAGAGGCACTTAGTGCGTTTAGAACTATCCATGCCTCAAACATTTTACTTAATCGCAAGAAGTCTGTCAATGCTTAAACTTCTCTGACAAAGAACATCCTACCTGATTTTGAAGGTCTTCAATTTTTCCATAATAGTGGCTGTAATCCTTTGTACCAGTAGGACCTTGCTTCTGGTACCACTCCCTGATTAATCGTTCAAGCTGAACATTTTCCATTTCCAAATTTCTGACCACATCCAGGTAAGAAGCCAGCCGTTCATTAAGGCTCTGCATGGTCAGCTTTTCATCATTGGAGAGAATTCCCACATTCCCGCCATGAAAGCCACTGCCAAAGCTGCCACCACTGAAACCAGCACCACCTCCACCAAAGCTTCCTCCGTAACCACCACCAAATCCACTCCCACCTGATCCAAAGCCTGCTCCCATGCTGCCACAGCCCATTCCCCCTCTGTGACCCACACCCCT